GGCCACTGCTAGCCAGCAACCAATAAGGCTTCAGGAGAGGTCAATCCAAACTCGATGCCATTGACCTTGTAGTCAGCACTGTACTGGGCTGACTACAAGGTCAGCAAGGTCAGCTCTCTTGTGGAACATCATGTATGATGGAGTACTGAAGCTTGAACTGCCAGAAGGGGCGAGACTCATAGCGTTCGCAGACGATGTAACCGTGTTCATCGTGGTAAAATATCGGGAGAAGATCAATCGTATCTTCAATATCATCTTTGAGAAGATATGTCGGTGGATGAATACAGTTGACTTGAAACTAGCGGAACACAAGACGGAAGCTGTACTTATAACGAGTAGAAAGCATGTGGAGACGACCAAGCTCACGAGCTCACATCTCAGCCGTTCATCCGGTACTTGGGAGTGATGATCGATACCCAACTAAGATTCAAACAGCAGGCAGAGTACGCGAGTTCTAAGGCGTCTGGAGTCAGAATGGCCTTATCCCGGCTAATGCCTAATGTGGGTGGACCAAAGCAGAGAAGAAAAGCCCTTCTATCATCGGTGGTCACATCGGTAATAAGTTATTGCATTGATATATGGGCCGACGAATTACTGAGTGCCTTCAGAATTGCCAGCGCATACCGCACTGTGTACGCGGACGCAGTGTGTGTCATCGCCAGGATGCTGCCCATTGAAGTACTCGCTGCAGAACGAAGATCCATCTACCGGCAGAAGTGATCGACCATACTGAGCACAGCAGAGCTGAGGATACAAGAGAGGCGCAGTAGCACCCGCAGATGGCAGTTGCAGTGGGACGCCTCGACCAAGGGGAGATAGACCCACCGCGTAATCCCTCATGTAGGTGATTGGTTGAACCGTACCCATGGTGAGGTTAATTATTATCTGACGCAAATGCTTTCGGGACATAGATACTTCAGGGCGTACCTTCATAAATTCAAACACGAAGATTCGCCGGAGTGCCTGACTTGTATAGGAGTAGATGAAGATGCGGAACACGTGTTTTTCCCATGCCCACGCTTCAGCGAGATCCGGAGCACCTGGCATTCTACAATTGGAAGGCAGGTCTGGTCTGGGAACTTGATAGAAGATTTACTGTCATCACGGGCAGCCTGGGATGCAACGAGTAACTTCGCGACCATGGTCATGAGGGAGCTCAGAAATGAAGAACGTGAGCGCAAAGCTGCGCAATAGACGGAGAATCTATTGGAACCTCCCACCCGCGCACAATATCTTAGTGGGGCAGGAGGACGTACATTAGACAAAGCAAAGCGGAAGACCAAACTGCTAAGGCCCCCTTCGCGAAGTAATACCTAACGGTGGTGCCGCGAGGAGAAGAACGGTCAGAGATTACAGTCGTCATGTTCTTTTTTTAGTCCGCATGGGTTGCACATTCACCGAGCCAATACAAGCCAGGTCTTATCAACTATCGCAGCTCGTCGTCACTACCAGCCAGACCTGACCGAGTACGACACTACCCTGCAGAAATGACCAAACTGCAGGGTATGCGTAAAGAGCATTTTTTTGTTTCATGACTCCGGAAAAAAACACATGCCCACACACACACACACGCACACACCGCCGAGCTGAGGCTTCTCCTTTTCACGGCACCTTGGTGGAGAATCCCAACTTCTACGGCGGCGCGTCCCCAGCTGGCGGATAGGGGAAGTCCTAACTGGGTCAGCCTGCTGACTGAGCAGACTGGAGTAAAATAAAATAGCTCCCGCGGACTAAAAGAGGCGTGCAAGGTGGGCTCCCTTGAACAGCCCGCATATAGAGTATCGGGTGGGCTCTCCGTAACAGTCTACAGTTAATAATGAACAGTGATGAAAAAACACATAGTTCCCATGCCGGTATCCGTGACAAGGTAAATCCCGCCATCAGTTCCGATCGGGTGCAAGCCCCGGTGGCAGATGCCGGCTCCATAGATTGTGAGAGAAGCCACTCACGACCAATGACCAAGTACCTCAAAGGTGGACTCCTTGGCCTCACATGCTACAAGGAGAGACGAGTCACTGACTCAACAGGGGAGTGAATGTTGTCGCGCATGGGCACGACTTAACAAGCACATCACAGAGTTACATGAGTTTGACCAGCCCAAGATTATTGTCCACAGGGAGATAAAATCCAAAGTAGCATCTATCGGCAGCGCATTTAAACGACTCAAAGGCTTGGAGGAGCCACGCACCAAAGGTCAATGCTCTATTACTAAGTTCGTGCAAACTCCACTAGCACCACACACGTCGCGTGTACGAGCTCACTCCGAACCATCGGTGAAGGACTCGGAAGTAGAGGATCCAAGTATCACGCCGTCGACTCGAGATGTTCGTAAAGCTGTACGGAGAAAGCGCTCGAAAGGCTCACCTGCGGCAGAAGCTCAAAAACTAAAAAGCTGAAGCAACAGGTCCTGACCCGCAAGGCAGCCGCGCAGGGGAAGATACCTACCGATGGGTCAGATTAGAAGCTGGTCGAGGCGGAAAGGAAGGCCACCTTGTGAGAAGAAAGAGCCTAAGAAGCAGATGAAGATCCGTTGGTAATCAGCGCCAAGACCTGATGTCCTGATCGTCCGACCCAAGGATAAGGAGAGATACTCGGACATCCTCCGCCGAATAAAGAAGGATGTTCCGCCAGAGGAAGCTCCAGATTGCGTCGATAAGATCCGCCGGACAGCAACCGGGGATTTGTTGATCATCTTGACCAAGAAGACGACCAACGGAGCCCCTCAGCTGCGTACAGCCATCGAATATCTCCTTGGAGATGAGGCCGAGGTGCTCAGCAAGGGGCCATAAGAACAGCTTGAGATTGAAGACATCGATGAGACGACGTCGAAGGAAGACGTCCTTGAAGCTCTCAAAAGAGTAGCTGGAGAGGAGCATATAATAGCCCATGAAACTATCAAGTCTCTGCGGAAGGCATATGGAGGCACCCAGACTGCCTCAGTGACACTCGCAGCAACTGCGGCGAAAAATATCTTGGGAGAGCACGGCAAAATTAAGATAGGCTGGGTCAATTGCTTTATCAGGAGAATGGAGAGACCGATAAAGTGTTTCAATTGCTGGTACTACGGACATCTCTCCATGAAGTGCATGAGTACAGTTGACCGGTCCAAACTCTGCGCCCAAATGCTCAGTGACTGGCCACAAGGCTTCAGACTGCAAGGAGAAGCCCCGATGCACTTTGTGCACCGAGAAAGGCAACACGGAGAATTGTGCCCACATTGCTGGTAGCAGTAGATGCCCAGTATATAAGGAGACACTCCAGAAAGTTCTCAATAAGCAACGATGAAAATACTCCAACACAACCTCAACCACTGCGAGGCCGCGCACGACCTGCTTATGCAGACGTATTGTCACGTGGACGCTCAACCCTGGGTCACTGACGCTAGCACGAAGACTATAATCTCGGCTTGTGGTAAATGTCCGTTCCGAAGCACCGCCAGCAATAGTACACAAAATGGTTTTGTGAAGAATAGGTTGATGGAATTCATTTCTACAGCTGCTACGCTCCGCCGAGCCTCTCCATCGAGGAATTCACGGACTTTCTAGATCGCCTGACTGAGGATGTGAAGCAGCACTTTCCTGTCTCAATAGTCGGGGACGTCAATGCCTGGGCAGTCGACTGGGGAAGTAAAGTGATGAACACCAAGGGAAAAGCTGTACTAGAAGCCATGTCATCGCTGGGTATAGTCCTGCTGAACAGCGGTGATGAACCGACCTTCATGAGGGGAGAGGCGAGCTCAATAGTGGACTTTATTTTCGTGAGTAGCAGCCTCGCAAAGGGGAACTGCTCATGGAAAGTAACTGATATCTACAATGCAAGCGAGCACCGCGTGATAATCTGCGAGACATGTACTCGCCAGAGAGTCATCTGAACGGCTAAGAAGGCAAAGTGCATTGGCTGGAGAGTGAACACCTTCCACTCTAGCTCTTTTTCAGCAGCATTAGACGAACGCCCGGTTAGTGGCAGCAATGCTACTGAGAAGGCACGCAACATCATAAAACAAGTAACAGAAGCATGTGATGCCACCATAACCTGAAAACGGACCACAAATCAGCATCCTCCGGTGTATTAGTGGAATGAAACTATCGCCATATTACGGAAGAAGTGTAATATAGCTAGGAGGTTGTTTATCCACAGCTATCCACACGATGCCGGAGAAGTTTTTGGACGTATACAACGAGTGCCTAAGGGAGGGCACCTTTCCTGCCATGTGGAAGCACCAGAGATTGGTACTACTCCCGAAAAGGAAAAAAGCACCGGATGACCCGTCATCATACCGTCCACTCTGTATGCTTGATACCACTGGCAAACTCCTCGAGCGTATTGTCCATAAACGAATAGAAACAGCAGTCAAACCCCTGTTGGCGGATAATCAATATGGGTTCCGGAAAGGCCGATGCACTCTGGATACTATCAAACTTGTCGTCGACGCCTCTAGGAACGCGATCTCAGGGAGAAGATAGCTTAGTGGCACGAAGAAGTATTGCCTAGTAGCGACACTGGACAACAAGAATGCTTTCAGCTCGGCGAGGTAGGACCGTATAATGGAAGCACTTGCGAAAGTCCACGTATCGGAATACTTGCAGAAAATGATCGGCAGCTATTTCACTGGAAGAGTCCTTAAGTACGATACGGAGGACGGTCTGGAGGAGTACAGAGTCACCGGAGGTGTACCTCAAGGCTTGGTATTGGGTCCCTCGTTGTGGAATATCATGTACGATAGGCTACTCAAGCTGGAACTGCCGCGGGAAAATAAGCTCGTGGCATTTGCATGTGATGTGGCTGTAGTTATTATGGGCAAATACCTGGAGGAGATCAACCTCCATTTCCACATGACCTTCGAGACGATCTGCCGCTGGATGAACGCCATGGGACTAAAACTAGCGGAATATGAGACAGAAGCCGTGCTGATTACTAGCAGAGAGAAAATGGAGACAATCACGTTGCAGGTCGGGTCCTGCGATATCACCTCCCAGCCGTACATCCGATACTAGGCGGTGATGGTTGATGCCCGACTAAATTTCAAACAGCACGCTGAGCACTTGAGTATCAAGGCATCTGGAGTCAAATCCAGCCTATCGCGCCTCATGCCCAACATAGGAGGTCCGAAACAGAGAAGACGAGCATTACTGTCGTCGGTGATCACGTCAGTGCTCACCTACGGCATTTCCATCAGGGTTAATGCATTGCAGTTGCAGAAAGTACGACGAAAGGTTGCACCAGTCTATCGACTCAGTGCTCTGCGAGTTGCGAGCGCTTACCGTACGGTATCGGAGGACGCAGTAAGCGGCATCGCCGGGATACTCCCCATAGAAATATTGGCCGAAGAACGAATGTCATTCTACCCGCAAAGGAAATCGGAAGCACTGATCGTAGTAGAACTCAATGCAGAAGAGAGGCGGAAGAATCTGCAGCACTGGCAGCTGAAGTGCGATACCTCTACCAAAGGGAGATGGACCCACCGTCTGATCCCTCAGGTAGGTGACTGGTTGAACCTTTCCCATGGTGAGGTTAATTATTATCTCACGCAAATGCTTTCGGGACATGGGTGCTTCCGGGCGTATCTTCATAAATTCAAACATGAGGATTCCCCGGAGTGCTCAGTCTGTACAGGAGTCGACGCGGATTTAGAGCATGTGTTCTTCAGATGCCCCCGTTTCAGTGAGAGCCGGCGCACTTGGGAATCAGCACTCGAAAGGGAAGTCCTGCCTGAGAATCTGGTGGAAGCTATGCTGTCATTGCAGACAGCCTGGGATGCTACGAGCAACTTCGTGGCAGAAGTCATGAAGGAGCTCAGGAGTGAGGAACGCAAGCGCAAGACTGCAGTATAGGCGAGTAATTTTTTTGAACCTCCTACTTACATATAACATCCCAGCGGGGTAGAAGGTATACTCTTGATGCTACCAAGTTGGAAGAGCAGATGGCTAAGACCTCCCTCGCGAAGTAATACTTATCGGTGGTGCCGCGAGGGAATTAAAGGTTAGTGGAAGTAAGTCCGATTGGAATTTAGTCGGTATTGGTCATAGACTTGAGCCCGATATACCCCTGTTGTCGGAGAAATTCTCTAGGATTCTCTCTCGCAAGCGGGGATGCGTAAATGCATTCTTCCAACAGACTATAAAAAAAACACTTAAACACATACAAACATGTCTTCAAAAACATGTCAGGATGATTCTAGGGGCCATGAAACGTCGACAAATCATGAAAATTCCAATTTTGATTTTCGGAGTAATTACAATAATTTTTTCCCTTAGGGTCAGGAAGTTAATAATCCTCCAATATTGAACCGATCAAATTGCCGAGATCAATTAAAACTCAACACGAAACCGTAAATGGAAATCGAATCGATGTCCATCGAAAATGTCATTATAGTCGCAGTCAGGAATTATTTTCCTCTATTTCTGATATGTCATGTATCAATGACACGCAACGACATCATTGGTCAAAATTGGAGAAAAAAACTGATATGATCAAACAAAAATATGATTCACTCACAAAACAAAACAAATTACGATATGACTTCCGTTAGTGATACATCAAATTGATCACTTGTAATACCACGAGAGGTTCAAAATTATCGGGTATTTTCTGACAGGTTTCTTGCAAACAAATGAAGGAGTCAAGTTTTTCAGGTTAAAAAATCACGAGTGATTTTTCCTGAAAAACTTGACGTCTTCGTTTGTATGCAGAGAACCTTGAGGAAAATGCCCGATTAATTTTGAAGCTCTTGTGGTATTCGGGGGATTATTTTTCCAATCCAAATGTCGGCCAATATAATTGGATAATGAGACGAAACTCACAATTGAGAAACGAAAATTGTATAAATAACACAACGACATTTTAATGCAGATTCAGGTAGTGCAGTTGAAAATACAATTGTTATAAACAGTGGTGCATGTTTTTTTGGAGTCGTCGGTGTCGGTAATGATTCCAGAAGAAGTAGATGGCATGACGTTCATCGAACTCCCTTCAGTAGACTCATTTTTTCGCAATTTTTTGACAATTGATTCGTGGTTTTCAGGGTCGAGTTGAAGATAAGGTTTAATATAATTACTATTTGCATGGCCAGTGAGTTTGATAATCCGTTGTTCACCAATTTCCGATTTAGCCCAATTGGAGACAGCTGTTGCACGACTGGAGTGATTGGTGATGTTCTTGTTGTCGACGTCAAGCCCAGTTTTCTGTGCTGATTCCTTTACTCACTTTGAGTATGATGTTTTGTTTTTATATAGCAACTACCAGAGAAAATTATCAAAAAATTATGAGTTGAAAACCGTGTGGCTTGTACCACGTGATGTCGAATGGGCTAATTATATTGCCCGATATTTGGGTTGGAAAAATAATCCAAGTATATAACTTACGACAGAATTATTACAAATCAAATGAATTCATAATTTTTCAAATAGCAAAACGAAAACTCCAGTTTAAAAAGAAAACGAAAATCTAAGTCACATCGCACGAATAGCAAAAATCAGACACATTCGTCTGACGTAACAGCACCAAAATTCATAAATATTTGAAAATTCCTAAATTACGAAAATCGAATCACACATGTAATACGGAACATTGCTATTAATTTTACGAAATTCAGTAACTCGTCCACACGATACGATGAATGTACTCAACACGTCATCAAAATACGATGATACGTATACAATAATTCGCGAGATCGAATCAAAATAAAATCTAATATATGGAAACTTTACGGGAATCTCAAATTATGGATAAAATAGCCCCACAAAATAGTGAATCCACAGTTACAAAATTAGAAACCCGAATAAAATCTATAAGAATGATGAGAATGAAAAACTCCAAAATCATTCGATATTAAAATCCGAATTCCAAAGTTAAAAAAAAAGATCGTGTCACGAAATACTATCAGTAACCGCAAGTCGATTCATCAATAAAAGAAATCCGAATACAGAATATTTTCATGACAAGTCCCGTCGCAACCCCGTTGGGCACCAAAAGCGACCAAAAGTGGCTCTAACCATGATTTTTCCCATCTACAGCCCCACGTTGGGTGCCAAAAAGCTGTGACGTAATTTTCGGGGTATCACGAACCCTCAGTCTACTGTGCAGCTATCTGACACCCAAACAACCTTGAAATGACAAAAGTTGAGCGCCAGGTCGTTTTCACCAGAAAGACCCAATACGGTTTCCACTAGCTCAAAACGTAGAAATGCGTGTTTGGTTACTGAAAGACCTTAGACTAGAGAGATGTCTGGGTTACGTAAACTACGGAAAATTAACTGTCAGGGAATTCACAATATTTAATAAATTTTAAAAGAAGTCAATAGAACACAAATGTATCCATGAAATAATCCCCTTTGCGATTTTCTATCGTTTAAATAAATAAAAAGACGAAACTATTCACAAAAAATCACATTCGTTAATAAATTAAATGATTCTAATTTTACAAGAATAAGAGTCAACAAAGTCAAAATAAAAGTCAAATAAATAATTACAATCGAAAGAAACTCAAAGATATTCATGTGAATCACAACAAGACAGAAGAACGATTGAAATCGAAATGTCTCGCTGACAACTAAAACGGGTGAGCAAACGACTAGATCGAGACAATAGCCTGTGTTACTAACAAGGTCACGAGGGCTCTAAACCTCCTAGCATTCAATTTCCTTCAAAAATTAACTGAGAGCAAGAGCGCTCGTTTAAGAATTTCCCATTGAACGCAACAATAATTAACAAAAAAATATTATTAATTTATTTCAATATTTTTCAATTGAACTGTGTCGCCAGATATTTTGGCAACAAGTCGCCAAGTCTGGTAACTATGATATTTGTGAATCAATTTCGGAAAAAATCGAGGAATGCCCGAGCGAAGTTTGAACTCACGACCATCCTTCAGAATTTATTCTACACTATTGCTATGCCCAAAATAATGGCAATATATTAATAAATAATTTATTTACACAAGTGAAGCAGTAGAACAATGAATTGAGTTCAACTTACTTCACTCATTGTTTTACTAAATCAGCGTTCATGTGCACCACTGTTTACCAAAGTCGTAACGTGCCACGCTTAATTACTATATATTAGCGTCGCCGCGGCCGCGTCGTTGATCATAATTTCTAGTTCCCAATTGAAAAATGCATATGTTCTGTGAACATTTACATGAGAACTGACATTGTTGATTTGAAAAAGAAACATTCAGCATTCAAAATGAAGATACCGTATTGGAATTAGGAATTCCAGAATATAATTCGGTGTACACGTGATTTTTCACAGTGCTTGATTCTCTTTGGCTTAACAGATAGATTTTCAGAGAGTCCCATGAACGAACACGTGATAATGCAATGTACAATTGTCCATGGTTGAAAACATCTCACCTGAGATCGATTCCGATTCTTTCAAATGTTTGTCCTTGTGATTTATTAATCGTCATAGCAAATGCCAATTTTCCAGGAAATTGCCGTCTTCCAAAAGCAAAGGTGTAATCATCTTCACTGTACAACGCTACAACGTAATGCGATTGATAAAAACTATTTCCCCTGTTTCATCCCCAGTCAAGATTCGGCATTTCAATAAATGATTGGTTAATTCTAAAATTTGTAATCTTGTTCCATTACACAGTCCTTCATTTATAGAAAGGTTCCTGAGCAACCTCACAACAGTGTTAATTCTTAATCGTAATTCATGAGGTGGCAAACATGAAGAATTGAATGTCTCCAAATATTCCGATAGAATTGCTTCCGTCATGTCTCCATTATCACAATTTTTCACAGTATTGATGCTACAATAGATTTTCTCGGTTGATTTGTCCGATAGTTCAACGACTCTTTTATTGATATCATCAACATCAACATTTCTTGCTGACAATATAGCCGTTGCAATTTAGCCGTTCGGGGGGTCCCACTTTGTTAACTTTTCAAATTGTTTGTTTCTAATTACTTCCCCATATAAATCTTCTGCGATATCTGCATGCGGAGGTGCTATGCACTCTTCTGTTTAATGTAACTCGCCTTCGTTAGTATTCAATGTTCCATCCCCAACAGATAGTAAAAATTGGGCAAATTCAGCTTCTTGTCGGAGAGCACGCATATTTTCCGTGAGAGTGAATTTTGAAAAGACAGGCCATAAATGACTGAATTTGATTGGTAAGTCAACCAATTCATTTCGAGTTGCATTTTTCTTTACAGGCAGTAACTGACGGAAGTCTCCACCTAATAACATAATTTTGCCCCCGAATATCAGTATTTAATATACTGATATTTAGTTTATCAGTATTTAATATATCACGGAGAGTTCGATCAAGCATTTCCAGAGCATGTCTGCCATCGGCGCTTCATCCCAGATAAACATTTTAATACTTCTCGAATACTCTGCTTCGGCAGATTGAGCTCTAATAGTTGGTGACGAATCAGTGTAAATTGCAATTGGTAGTTTGAATGCCTTATGAACGTTTTTATGTATGACGTATATATAATTACATTTCTTTATATATGAATTCGCATGGGTGATACGGACCCTCCAGAAAACGTAGAGATAAATGACCTTCCACAAGCAATGTCTTATGATAGATGTATTTTGCGTGATCGTCTAAAAGTGCTGCAGATACACGTGCGGGGAGGAAAACATCATGCTCAGCATCCAGAGTAGCTACGATTGTTCTACCATATTTGGTGTTGACACTTTTGAATGCAGTAATCTGATAATCCACACCCAGAGTTAGATCATCAATCCTTTTAACGGGGAGAGTCTCGCATCGGGCGATTTTGTTGATACTTCTCTCAGCCATTTTTCCAAAAAGATCTTTTGTAATAAAAAATGAACACAAATTGATATCATGAAATGGAACCAATCTTATGAA